TTTTCTTTCCTTTAAAGAAAGTTGCCCTTTAAGATGACACAAAATATCTCGAGCATTTCAGTGAAATTGTCAAGATTTGCCGCAGTCAATTTCTCTGTCAATTTTGGAGCGTTACTTGACATCAGGACAATTGAAATTCCCAATATCGCCCGTCAATGCAACCATACATGCAAATCTTCCAAGAGCTATTGTTTTTCCGCAAAACGTGTTGTTGCTGGACAGCCTGGACCCCTTAATTCTCATATATTAAATAATTTATTTACAGAAAAAAAAAAAGGAGGAACAAAAGAGAAATGAAACAGACCATTCTCCTTGTGAATAACGTAAGGGTTTATACTTGTAACATAAGCATCTGATTTTTGTTGTTTATTTTTATCTACTTAAACATAGCCATTCACATTGAAATAATTTTACAGTATATAAATGAACCTCACAATCCTTGTATTTTTGATACAATATGAAAATAGCTGCCAGATTTTTTACGCCCAATAAATAGATGTGCAAGACAACCATTTTCTGCCCAGGCTGAAGCCGACAGCCCGAGTCAAGCCATGCTTCACCTGAGGCGAATTCAGTGTCATAAGCAGGCATCTAGAGCTGACTGCTTCCACCACTGAAATGCTCTCTTCATATGATACTACAATCTAAAGCCTTGATTATATTTCGACGCCAGATTGCAGTCTCTGGGTCAAATCTCAGCTCCCATGCAGGCCAGTAGTGCAAATCCTGCTTCAACGTTAGAACTTGAGGCTTGCCATTCAGGTGCACTGTCCTTACACGAACAAACTCCCCATGTTCCAATTCCTGTTAATATATTAGACCACATACAGGTTTAATTAACTGCGGATGGCCTAAAATAATAACAGCATTAAAAAAAAATGTACTTCAAGAAGAATATTATGCCAAAGTTCAAGAAGCTTGAATAAAAGCTGCGAAGAGCATGACAGTATTTTTATTTTTATTTTTTTCATTTTTGGACACAGCAAGAACCTACTGCAGAGAACATTCACACCCTAACTCAACTGAGCCCTTGTATAAAACAGCAAAATGCATGTGATAGCTGAGAGTCGAAGAGAGTAGAACTTCACACTTTCAAACTCAAGGGAAGAGAGTAAGCATTACCTTTGTCACATTCACAAAGGCGTCTATATCAGGAGTTGGTTTTCCATTGACTTCAACTATCCATTGAAGAGCATATAATCCGTATCTGTGAACAGGACTACCATGACACCACCTGAGAAACAAAAGGAAAGAATTTTATTCTAACCACCAGCATGCAACCCTACGTTAATGAATGAAGAGTTTTTTTTTTCCTTTTTTTTTGTTATTTTTCTCTTTATTTTCTTTACAAGAGTCGTGACACATTTTTTCCCCCTTTCTTTATTTCTTTCAATAAGAAGTTAAAACTTTGGACCTCCTGATTTTGATTATTTTCATTTTCCATAATTAATTTCTAATCATCAATTGATGATTGATAATGTTGCAGCATTGAAGTAAAACTTTAATTAACAAAGTTCATTCTGAAATTATTCAGAACAACTAGTTGTCATATAAAACATTTTTTATACAGCTTTACAAGCAAAAACTCATTCTAGATCACATAATATGGCCCTATACAGGTCACCATTATGACTACATACATGAAAATGAAAACTTGATAACTTGAGAAAATTCTTACCTTGCGACATAAACACCATGACCTTCTTCTGGAAGAAAACCAAGGGCTCGAACAGCTGGATGAGGGTCCTGAACAATACATCCACACCAATTAATTGCACGTGATGTCCCATTCCCATCTCTAACATCAGTCCCAACAAGAAGATCCATTTCACACCCCTGGCAGACCACATACATCAGAATGATGAAAAAATCACACATTTGAGACAAACTCCTTTCATCAAATTTAACAATAATAAAGTCAAAAACAGAATAAACAATCAAAGTCTATATCTGCTTCCTTACATGCCGAAAAATGGTCAAGTTTAGTTTCTTATCATTGTCACCACTGTCCAATTCTTGACAAACATTTTCTATGTCTCGGAAGCAAGTAACTGGCTCTTTATTAACTGCCAATACCATGTCACCTTGTTCTAATAGATTTTCAGCTTTTGATCCAGCCAAACAACCTTTGACACGTAAAACCTGCCGCCTAATTGGGTCTTTCTTGACAAGAGCCTATAGAAAACAATAAATAAAAATTAAATGTCTTGGTATGCAGGTTAAATGCCTATAAATGACCACGAATGAGTCATATTCCGAGAAAAGCTAAACAAAATCAGCATTCTAAATACATAATAGGGACATATATTTTTCATAATTCAAGCATAAGTTCATCAAAGAAGAGAATCTTCCTCAGAGATGTTGCATACAGATCTTTGACAACCAATTCCAAAAATGCCAGTATAAATTATTTGGATAGAATTAGGTCTTTAATGCATCTTGCCAACTGTAATTCCCAAGAACAAGAAAATGAACCCAACAACCACATAACTAATCATGGCCCCAAACAGCAGCATTGTGGTTCAATTATTGACAAAGAGAAACCATAAGCTACCCTCAGGAATTAGATTTGACATCAAGCCACAATAGGTTCCAAAAACTCTCTAAGCTATCTCATATTGAATCACTATAAGTATGTTCATGAACTGAACATCCTTCAAATTCTAGAAAATCTTGAAAAGGTTAAACACAAGATTTAAATGTTAGCCACCACACCATCAATATCATGCATACCTTCTTGGAAATGGGAAAACATGAAATGCATTAAACAACCACCTCTCTAGCACATCTATACCAGCATTGTTTATTGTGAGAAAAATTAAAATGTTGATTTTTGAATCAGGAAGAGAGCATACTTGGATCCAATCATCACTCAACCCAAAACTCCGGGCCTTTGAAAGCAATGTAGGATAAAGTTCAACCTCTAAGACTCTAACTAGTGGCATTGACCTTTTGACTCCATTTATGAGAAGGGGGGTCCCATCAGCACCAGAAATGATTTTGTCAAGAACTTTGCTTATCGTATAGATTGGGATACCTCTAACAAGACGAACTTCTGATGAATTGCGACAAAATTTCAACTGCAACAAGCATCACAATCTTCAGAATTCGGGCATCAGAATGCATGGCCAAATATAAGACACCATAAAACAAATTAGGAGTGGAAACCTTTGTTGAAAAGCTTCCCCAGATAGCTTGAACTCTTCCTTGCTCATCTGTAAGTACACCAGAGAATGTACTACCAAAATCTGCAGAAGACAAGCATGAACTGAGTCATTTTGTCGACATCACATAGATCTACCTAAGTAATGCTGTAATGGCAAGCTAAAATACCAGTATCAAGCTCAATGACTTCCATATTTGTTGCTCTGTACCGTGGACAATCAGCTGAGCCAATATTAAGAGCAGCACATGGATTGGTCACAATTGATTTTCTAGATGTTGCTTGTAAGCTTCTATTTAATCCTACCAGATACACTGAATCTCCACGACGCAATGCAGGCTCTGTCTCAAAAAGAAAAAAGCTGTGAATCCTTAAAAATCTTATTTTTAGCATTTACAGAGAAATTATGTTGGTACCTAGGGGACAGCCCAACTGTAAGGCAAGGAAGGCTTTGGGTGAGGGGAAGGGTCTAACCCTGGTTCTATTTGCAACTCAAATGCACAATAAAAATATGGAAACAATCACAATGTGGATATCAGTATCAATCCCATGGTCCAATAAGACTACTCTTTCATTCACCATGGAGCTAATACGGATAAACTTCCAACATGAAAAAGGAATTCCAAAAGCCAAATGGTGAGGTATGCCTCAATAAAACTAAGCATTGAAGTTACACATCTTTCTAGACTTTCCTAACCAAAATTTAAACATCAGAAGCAGATATTTAGAAGAAATATCAAAACCTATTATGAAACGGTATTCTGTGAAGGTTAAAATAATTCCAAGATAAATCAAATACGAGATGCAAAAGTAAAACCTACCGGGAAGTAGCTCAGCAGCACGAACCGTAGAGGCACCAACAGGTCCCAAAGCTGCGGGGTCATATGCAACTAGAGCATAATTGTGAACAGGGTGGAGAAAAACTACCTGCAGTAAAAAATAGGTAGCTTAATCAATTACACTGTTGGCAACTGAAATTCAACAAACTATACCCTGGCCAAAAAAGCAAATCAACAAACTAGGCTGAAATTTAAATTGTGTTTACATGGAAACAGCGTACCTCTCCAGGAATTTCAATGGGAAAAGCAGCAAAGGACAACATCACATCAGATGCAGATATTGCAACTGTGTTCCTGTCAACCGCTACTAATCCCATATTTTGAGAATGGTATATAATGACACCAGTCCCAAAAAAATGTTGTGAATGGACTCCATCAAGCATGCATGAAGGCGGCACATGAACCTGAAAGGATGAAGATCAGCAAAGGTCCCTTGACATGTAAGTTGAAAAGAAGAAACAGTAGGCTGCCAAGAATAACAAATTAAAAAAAAAAAACTACGAGGAAGCAAAATGTTAGTCTTATGTTCATAATCATATATAAATTTTTTTTAAAAAAAAGAAACCTAAACACAAATCATTTGCTTAAATAAAATGGCCTGTGGGTGGGATCATTCTAATGAACTATTTACAAAAATTTAAGTAACATTCCAATTTACTTATCTCAAACATAATCCTAATTATCATAATAGTTCTCTCCTCCTGAGTGTAACTATCATCATCTTAAAAAATGCAACAATGCAACCAAAATATAAAAGAATTAAGAGGTTTTCATAGAGATTGAGATGCAAATGATAGAGCAGCTGAAGCATATTATCAAAACATGATTATTCAATAATAGCATGATATAATTTTCAAGTGTAATATGCTATATCAATTAATATTGTGTTATAAAGACAATATTAACCAAAGGAAACAACAAATGCCACAACAAGCGTCACAAAGCTAACTAGAAAGTAACTAAAATGACAAACAGTTTTATTACCTCAAACATCACGAGAGTAGGCTCTATCACACGTTCTGCAACTGAAGCATTGGCTGCTGCAACCGTTGCTCCCTGATAGTCTTTCAAAATGGCATTTACAATAGGATTTGGGACACTTGGCTTATCTTCCCCAGTTTCATGTAAGGAAGAGTCAGCACCAACACCATCAGAAGATAAATCCTCTTCTATTCGCCATTTCTTTGATCCAATACCAGACTCTGCAGAAGAATTGTCAAAACTGGTATCCATGCTAGCAACTCCATTAGTCAACTCTTGGTTATTGCCTTGATGAATATGTTTCACATGAGTAGCCTCACCATTAATACCAGACGATAGCAGCAACGGCTTAGATTCAAAGGCAGGTTTTGCCGTCCATAGACCTGAACTGTCATCACGAGTATATATCTGGGGAGGGGAGTACCATTCATGGCGATCAACAGTCACCAAGACCGACTGCAGCCATCAATAGAATCAGCAAGATCAAATAAAATACTAATAGCATAGATAATTGAAACATGAAAGATGCACATGGAAAGATTGAGACAAGTAACAGGCACTAACAGCAAAGAGAACAAGGATGATTGTATATTCCTTTTTGAAAATTTTGAACAATAAGTTTTCAAAAATCCTATCTTTTAATATCTAACCTGAAGCATAAAACATTTACAAGAAACGATAGCGCAGAGAAACATGAACATAAGGAAAAGTTTCATAAAAAAAAATTAAAAGGTAAAAACAAGCATGATAGCTTAGAGATGGTCCAGTTTTCAACTAATGAGGCTTTCTATGATCAATCATGAAGTACCTTCCTCCGATGACGATCTGTGTAGCTTATATATTCTAAAGGCACTCGAGCACCCCTAGACAACTTTGATAAAACAGAGACCAGATCTTCAAGTTTTGATATCTCTTCACCAGCAAACTTCTTAATGATGGCATGTCGAGGAACTCCGGCTCTAAATAGCATATATCTACAGTTGATGAAATCTAACAGTTAACTAAAGCAAATCTAAATAATGTTTGAACTCAAGGAACCAAGTCATGATATTTCTTTTTTACAAATAATAATAGTAATAATAATAGAAATAGTAATAATAATAGCAATAGTAATAATAATAGCAATAGTAATAGTAATAGTTTAGTAATAAAGAAATATGCAAAGATGTATAAATTCACTCAATTACAGAATCAAAATTTCAAACTAGATCAACTAGACTTACCCAGGTTCTGAGACATATACAAGACCACAATGGAAGCGGAAATTTCTTGCCTGTTTCAAACAAAAGTTATAAAACTTATATAGGTTAAATTGTTCATGACAACAGTCAACCATTAAAAGTCGTAACCATTAAAGACACAGATGTAATGTAAGAACAATAAAACATGAGCTTATTTTTGGTACAACATCTGAAGAATCTTAGAAAAATAGGAAGGAAAGTTTCTAGCAGCTAGGATAAAGATGCAATAAAGCTGCAAGCCACTACCCACCTGCTGGTAGGACAGAGGGTGTATCACCGCACCACTGACTTCTAAAAAGTAATCAGGAGTTATTGAGTGCAGATCTTGAACCTGAAGCATAAATATGGAAACTTATAAGGTTTTGTGTTGAACCATGTGAATGGAGCAAGATTTCCAACAAACACAATGTTAAGGAAAAATTATTGGATTGGCTTTGGCTACAACCAAGATTTAGTTATTTATGCCCAACATTTCTTTATTCCTCTATAGAAACAAGCAATTGTGGCTGAGCTCCACATAAATTGGATGTAATGTTTGAAATGACATGAATACAAACAAAAATCCTTACCGCTAAGTTTATGTTCAGTTGTACACCACCTCTTTCAATCTGTAACTCAATCTTCTGGTCAACACTGTCATCAAGTAGGGTTTCTAATTTTAGAAATTGAGTAACTACCTGCCAAAGATTTTCAATAACAAATGTTAAAAGTCAATAGTGCAAGAAAGACTAAAAATTTCCCACCGGGAAAAAATAATAATAATAAAATTTACAAGATCAATATTTGCTTTATCAACATTAAGTCTAGAATGTCAGTCTATGTTACTTGAAGAAATAGCGTCTCAGACTCTCAACTAATGCTGTTCAATCAAAAATAAAGTCTCCACTCTATATATTGCTTTGAAAGATTCTATTTGGACAAAACAAATATAAAGATTAAAAAGACACTGCATTCACAGACAAAAATTAACTATTCACCATAAAATCATCAAAAACAAAAGCAGGCAAAGATGAGAAATTAAAGCCATGTTTGATTATTAGATATCTTCCAAATGCCCTTAAAAACCATACATGATACATTTGATCCACATGAGAATAAAGAAGAACAAACTTAAAAGATCATAGATAAACCCAGAGGAAAAGACAATACATTTAAATTAGGTATTCATAGAATTAGCAAATTTAACTCCATTTAAGAAGATTCTCTAATAATCTACTTAATTCTATTCATGAAGATTTTCATTTTTAAGTTCTAGTGCCCTAGTTCACCTCCAACAAGTTGCAAAGGCAGAGAGAAAATTCACTTCATTTAATGAGTCACATTGTAGCAGGGAAGTAAGTGAGGAAACAATACAAATCTACAGGATCCAACAAATTTTATACAAGACAAAAACTGTTTTTCTTGAGTGACTCAAGGCATTACTTACCTCCCCATTCACACGGACTAGAACATCACCTGGCTCCAAGTGGCTATGAGCTGGACCACCTGGTACCTAAAATATGTCAATTTTATGGGAATTGATAAAATAAGCATAATATTGAAAACAAATCCAGAAAAAGAGTAAACTTAAAAGCAAAAGTCAGAACAAAGTAACTAAATCTTACTCACCACAGAGTCAACCACAAGCATTCCAGTTTCACCTAGTATAGATGCATGCCGTGCTATCTAAGCCAGATAAAATAGAATGGTAAGCCATTAGGGAACAACTATTCTGAATCAAAAATTATCTATGGGACATAAAGAACATGGTACCTGCTCTGTTTCACTTCGAAGACCAAGCCGACGTATCTCATCAAACCCTTTGTGGAGAAATGTCACCTATATCCAAAGTAATAAGAAAAATAGTACCATAATAAATCCTCTGATGTACAGGAAAAAAGTTATCAATGTGAAAACCTATTGACTCAGTGAAGCCAATGATCAGTTCTACGGTGTATGAGGATGCAAACCCATCATGGCACATGGGTGATGTTTGATTGGTGTTTTCTACCAACTAGCAAGTTGCTGTATATCAAACTTTTTTTTTTTTTTTTTTTTTTTTTTTGGAGGGGAGATACATTTTTCTGCTTTTAAGGATAAAATTAAAATTCCAATGGACATTGTGATATCTTAATTCGGATACTAAACTAAACTATTCCACAATAGGTGTTGCTTGGACATCCCATTTTCCCAGGGAAAGACCAGAAGTCAGAAATTCAGGAATTTTCTGGAACTATCAACAGAAGAACAGATAAAACAACACTTATTTCAATATACCTAACCAATTTAACAACAGGAACTATTAATATGGAAAATGGAAGGGGAAAAAAAACAGTAGTATCACAAGGTTAATATCAACAACAAACCTGAAGCGTACCACGAGGTATGGCAACTGCTTCCCATTTACTTAAGTAAGAATCTCTTCCATTCTGCAGAAATTTCAATGCCCTTACTACCTGCAAATCAAATTAACAATGTTTCAATACCCTGGTTTTTTACAGAAAACTAGCATTCAACTACAAAAACAAGCTTCCATATAAATTAGCACATATTTTAAAAGGATTCAACAAACCAACTTTCAGAAACATGCATATGCAAGTTTTAAGGACTTTAGAGAATACTTTAGCTGAGAGAGAGGATAAGCATCCAGACCATTAAATTGTTCAGCAAAATGGAATGTGCCAGTTAACTAGATTACATATGTGGGCAGAACAATAAAGAGTTCTGAAGATAGAATCTACAAGCAACCACTTTTACACTTTTGCAGATTACATTTATTTAGCCAAAATGCACAATGTTGAGATGTTTATTGCAAGAGCAAGATTTTCTTTAAGATGATGTTACAGGTTCATGTTCTAAATTCTCATTCTAGTTGAAGAATTTCACATAAAAGAATTGAATAAAAGACAAATTAAATAATTTATACTCAACCCTCTCAAGAGGCAAGAAAAATGCCGATGCACTAGTTGTCTTGC